CTGAATAATTGCATAGTAACAAAAAATACGCATTACTATGTTTGAGTTACTATTTTGATTATATGTTTTAAGCAAACAAAATGTTACATTTTTGGTAGAATAGGTCATTCAGGGAAATTTGGGACTAAACATCCTTCCCCATTTCCCTCAAAGAATCCAGACTAATTTATAATGATTGAATTCTCATTAAAACTATATGGATGATATATTGAAAATAATAACAAGCTATTTAACCAAATTCATTTGTTTGCTATGGGAATAAGTTTTATAAAAGAAAAAAACAGATATCCTACCTAATTTATAATTACTGAAACTTAAGCTACAATTCTCAGAAAACTGCAGAATTTCATTTGCTTTCTATTCTTCTGCCTACTTACCGATAACTTATTACAGACCTGTGGTCTGTAACAGAAAGACTAACTACAATTCCAATTTTGGAAACTAGAGAACTACTAAGTTCCAGTTAGCATATCAAATAAAATAACAGTGATCTTAGTTCAGTCCCTAGTGGACAAAAGTAGAATAACTATTACTTGGCATGATTCAGCAGGCGGTGACCTAAGTGAGGGTGACCACACAGGAACAAAAAAGATCATTTGTCCTTTCCCTATTTTTTATCTTCCTAAAGGGTTTGGATGGTTAACAGACTAACTTAAAGAAGCCTAATTACATTCCTAACTATATGCACCAAGTGAATCTATTAGCAAAGGTCTTGGGGGAAAAGATTTTCACAAACGGGGACACTGCCTCCCTTCTAGTAGCATAGTCAGTGGAATACAGTTATTATCTGCTGCCTATCTGTTACAGAATTAAACAGAGAGCAAAGAGAGAATGGACTGCAGAAATGTGTTCATAATATAATAGGCACATCTTCAACAAAAACTTTTCAATGGTTTATAAACAGCTGAATAAATTGTTCAATTTGATTTATTTAAATTAGGTAAATGCATACTCAACATTAATACTTATCAAGTGACATGGCTACTTAGACTCCCCAGGTACTGTCTCTCTAACTACCATGCCCTCAGAAAGGAGGTATTTCAGGAATACAGCAGAGCCTAGAAGTTACATTCAGCCCGAATCTGCAGGTGCATGTCCTCCTGAACAGCCAGCACTGGCTCGATTTCTCCTCTCACAGTGGGCAAACCTCTTTCCTGTGAGTTAACACTAAGATTTATTTTCTTTATTTTTTCTCAAGGACAGAAGACATGTATGACGAATCAGTCCTCTACTATTCTATAACTTGTTGAAGTTAACAGTTCCCTTTACTAACATACAATTTTCTACCCAAATATTATACTGTATATTTATTCTCACTTCACATTAATTTTACAAAAGGTTGAAAAAAATATTTTATGATGATTTTCCATCCTAGCTGTAAAAATTTCCTGTTGTAAAATAAATTTGATCCTAAATTGGTATTGTCATTATGATTTTCTTTTTTTCACCGCCTTGCTTAATAGGTACATGCTTTCTTTTTTAAAGTTGGGTTTTGACAGGCAGAATATTCAAGCTTCAAAAAAGAGGAAACCAGAAATGTCATAAAATTTGCCAGTGCTAGATACACAAATGGAGTGCTACCATATATTCACAGGTTTGCACAAGCCTAAAAACCTTGGCTTACCCAGGAAGTCAAACTGAGAAAGCACTTTTGCATTTGCAAACACTGCCCCCCTGGAGCAAAAGGTAAACATACAAATGCCCCCTAAGGAACTCTAAGTTAGCTGCAGTGCAAGAACGGAAAAGGCTCCGTGCAATTAGAAACTGAAAGCAATGACTTACTTTTTGCAGCCACTGAGTATAATTTTCCATCACATGCTCCAGATGTTGAAGTTTCTGGGAAGAGAAATCCGGTTCCACGTGTGGAGCATCTCTCTGCAGAGCATTTGTGTTGTACTGGTCTGTCGTACTCTCACGACAGTTCCCGTCGTGTTCTGGAAGAATGAAAGTGTAGGCACATTGCCCATGTTGAATCCGGTTGTATCTTCTCCCACCGTTTTCTGGACTTCGGCGCTGGTTGCTGCACCCTATGTGAGTCAGAATGGCAGCGAGGAAAGCAAAGGAAAGGAAAACTGTCATTGTACTCCCCGCACTCTGCTTCCGTGCCTCTCGCAAAACTTGCTCCTTTCTTCTGACCTTTAAACTAGTTCTTTATTTCAGGTAAAACTGCTTGTTTGTTTGACTTTTTCCCCCTCAAAGAAAGCGTTTGAAGAAGAATCATAGAAACCTAGCCATTTGTTAGCTTTGTTCTAAAATGTTATTTTTTTTATTTCACTGTAATTGTAGTTTCCTTCGTTAAAACTTGAGATATTTATTGCATAGTAGCCGAGATTTATTGTTTCCTCTCTGTGTAACCGTTCAGCTTGGAGCCTGCCTGAGTCAGCTGCGTGTACATATTCTAGACCCTTTCCTCTACCCTATCTGCTGCAGATCTGCTATTTTCTCCCAGACCTCAGTGAGTTTTATTAAGGTTGCACATCCAAGCCAAGCTGGAAGCAGGCAGCCTTTCACAAGATGACTTGACAGGAATGCATGAGTGTGCCCCTATGCGAAGGATTGCTGATGGCTTAGGGCGGCGGGATCGTCTTACAAATTGGCTAGATGCGCATGACCTCGATCATGTATGGCCCTCCCGCCGCCCCTTTGGCAGACAATTGCCTTGAGCCTTTAGCAGATTCATGGAAAATCAATAAATAGAGCAGTCCACCTTAATACACTTTTGGTGTGCATGCTGACCTACTAAAATCTAGCAAACTAGCAGTATGTTTTCAAAGTCACTATTTAATTGAGGAACCCTAAGAAGAAAATTGGCATAATGTCCAATAAAATTAGTTTTGAGAGTGAATAATAAATCTGCATAATTATTAAATTTCTTTAAAAAATTTAATATTGACTTTAAGGAAAAATATATTAAAAACCATTTTTAGAGATGGTATTCTTTCACTGTATTCACTTAGACTTTTAAGAGTTAGAAAAAATAATCAGAGAGGATCAAATTAGCAAGAAAATTACCCTAATTTGTCATTCACAGCAATATAGCATATGCATGTTAAATAGAATTATCTAAGTACCTTTTGGGATACAGATCTTAAATGAAACTGGTGCCCTGATCAGAATGCAGCTCTTCATGTTCTGTGTATATAAATTGAGCAACTTCCCTACAAAAACAATGTGGTTACAATTTAAAACGGTGGCCTCCGAATTATTAATTCCTGTGGTACATCCTAATCATGCATTTCACAAGAACCTCTTTAGTATTGCTATGGCTATCTTTAACACTGGTGTGGAAGTTCCATTATAAATCCTCCTGTGGTTGCATAGACAAACCATCTGAGAACAAGCAAATATCAGGTGTGCCAACAGCTGGCAATGGGCTGTACAGGAGACATCTATGTGGTTCTAATAAGAAAGAAGGAAAAAGAATCAGAAGGTGATTTCCTTTAAGCACAGTATAAACATTTGAACAAAGGGACCAGTAAAATATAAAGAACAGGTGATAATTACAAAACTTAGGGTACAGCTTTGAGATCTTTACTAGATGTGTGCGGAAAACATGAATTATAAGTAGGGGTTTTCATCAGGAACTAGAGGGATTTTAGGCAATGGAGCCTCTCAACTGCAGACATAGTGTAAAAACAGAAGCCACAGATGTCATCTCCCATGTCCTGGAATGGGAGCAGGGCAGTGGGTGAGGGTCAGTAGTGGTTAGAGATGGGCGTCTAGGGAGAAGTTAGAGGAGAGGTCAAAACAAATTCCAGAAAGAATGTGATTTACTTGAGGGAAAAAAGTCTTGCCGAGATTCATCAGCTCTTTCTACACCAAATAAAAAATTTCTGATTGGACAGATATGCAAGCAAATTATGCTAAACAAAGCAAAAAAAAAAAAAATCTTCGAACCACTTTTGCAGCCTCCTTTTATACTATTGCATGTCTCCCTGTTGGGTGATATGTCACTCCTGTGTAACAATAACAATGACACTTACTAAGAGCTTACTATTTGCTGGGTGAAGCACTACACACTATCTCATTTAATCATTACAACAAACCTAAGACATGGATATTATGTTTAACCCCATTTTATCAATGGGAAAACTGAGTCACGGAAAGGCTGACTGGTCATAATTCACATAGCTAGCAAGTGATGATACCAGTATGTGAACTCAGGTAAACTGACTCAGAGCCTATGTTTCTAACCACCAGGCCAGCCTGTCTTTGAAAGCTTCTGCAAGGAATAAAAGCAATTTCAAAAGGTCTCCAGCTGCCTTATTTTACAGTCCTGAAGCAGAGTGAGTGATGGTACCTGGAAAAAAAGGGTCATGAAAGGCAGTTCACACCTCCAAAGTGATTTAATCCTTTCCCTACACATATGCACACACGCACACACACACGAAGTAACAGGTAACCCATGCACCACAGTCACAAGGATGAAGTGGACTGGCAAAGCACAGATTGTCTAAGAACACTTTCCAACACTGCTTGATTTGAAAATTATCCATGGAAAGAAGAGAGTCCAAAGCCGACACCTATAAGTGTTTTGTTAAGAACTAAATACAGCAGAAAACTGGCAGAAGACTAATGGATGAGGGGTAAGGTCTCCATTAAAGTGTTCCTGTGTTTTCAAACAGCCGAGACTGTCAAAAATATGTTCCTCTACTTGTGTCTCTGTATGTGTCTGTATGTGCTTGTCCATATGAATTTTTCCAACCTCAATAAATGAAAAGAAGGAATGCGCAATTTCCTGAGGGAAAAGTAGACAATTAAGAAAGGGAAGGCCGAAGTGCAAGTTTAAAAAAGGGAGCTGAGAGGGTAGAAAGAGACAGAGAGGAAAAAATGATAGAGACTGATTTTTTATTTTCCAGAAAAACAAAAACAACCAGCAATCATAACACTGGAAGTACTAGTGTCAATCAGGAAAAAAATGACTGAAGATCAGTTTTAAGCAATTAGAAAACAGAAACGTGCAGAATCGATCCTGTGTTTTTGGAACTCCAGCTGAGAGACAGAAGATACATTTAAGGATCCTGACACACTCAAGATAATACGCTTTCAGGGCCATGAACTTAAAAGACAGCCACACTATTGGTGGTTGCTGGTTATTCAGAAATGGTGCACAATTCATAAGATGTTAAAATTTAGGGAATAATATGGAGAATAGGCCAATTTTTTTTTTTTTTTTTTTTGAGACAGAGTGTCACTCTTTTGCCCGGGCTAGAGTGAGTGCCGTGGCGTCAGCCTAGCTCACAGCAACCTCACACTCCTGGGCTCAGGCTATCCTCCTGCCTCAGCCTCCCGGTAGCTGGGACTATAGGCATGTGCCACCATGCCCAGCTAATTTTTTCTATATATTTTTAGTTGTCTGATTAATTTCTTTCTATTTTTAGTAGAGACGGGGTCTTACTCTTGCTCAGGCTGGTTTCGAACTCCTGAGCTCAAACAATCCGCCCGCCTCGGCCTCCCAGAGTGCTAGGATTACAGGCGTGAGCCACCGCGCCCGGCCAGGCCAATGTTTTTTTAAAAAATTCTTCTACCACACCTCTAAAAAAGTTAAAGAATTTCTAAAGAACTAAATAATTCTATTCAATTGAATTTTGAGGTAGCTTGATCTCGAAAACTTTGCATAAATTTGCATTATTAGAACTTTGCAATAAGGAAATGTAGGCCCTAAGGTTCTGGTCTCATATCTACAAACAGTACTACTAAATGTTCCACTCGTTCAGAAATTTCAATGGGATCAAGAACCATTTATTCCAAAACTTAATGACTTAAGAACCAGTCTTTGTTACTTCTTTGGTAAAGCTTTCCTAATTTCTCAAGGCCCAATAAGTGGCTTTCTCTGTTGAATTTCAAAAACCTTCTCTTCATATCTCTAAAACAGCACTTCTCACATTTCTTTCTAATTGTTTCTTTTTTGGGTCTGTCTCTCCCTTTAGCTGTGAGCTCCTAAAGTGATCTCCTCTTTTTCATCATTGATTCCCCAGCACTAGTTACACACTTTGTTTGCAGGAAGGAAAGAATAAACAAATGAGTGAATGAGCTAATTAATTACTTAATTGGTGCAACTTCCTGATTCTGTATCTGGCTACTACATGACTGGCCACATCCGTTGCATTTGTTGAGCTAGTCTGCCTAGAATTCATAGGTATAAGGAACTGGGGGAAAAAGCACAACTTATTCTAAAGAATGAGCTAGACACAAGAACATAGTACAATAATAGTATATAGTATTATTTAACCCTTAACAAACAGTTTTCTTAATGTTTATAAAACCCTCATAATTATATACTTATATAATAGCATATATTATTATTCCCATTTTGCAGATGAGAAAACTGGGGCACATAGAGGTTAATTGCCCAAGAGCTACAATTTCTTAAGTGGCAGAGCAGGAATTTGATCTTCCATCCATTTAACTCTGAGGCTCACATTCATATCCCACTGAGCTACACTGCTTACAACACTTCAGTTTAGGAAACAGGGAAAAAACATTTCTCAGAATTTAAGGGACAACATATCAAGTACAACTAAGATTGGTCCCCTCCTTCCTCTACCCATGGCTTTCATAGATTAATGTTATGATCTTCCAAAACAGGGCTAATATTAAGCCAGGATGCACCAATATGGTTGTCCCATATGGTTACCAATAACCAATCTGATTGATCAGCTTATACATTGGGTCCATTCTGAATGGCTGGTCTTATGCCATAGCACCCATTATATATCTTGATTATCACCCCACTCTAAAATAAAATTAAACTATATAAAATAAAATAGAGTTTATTTCTCAAAAACACCAAGCAATGAGATACAAGGAAGCATGCCTCTGGTATTCATACCACCCCATGTGAGGGTAAAGGGGGTGGGAGAGTCTCCTCCTATCCTGTGTACAGACACAATGTGGTTCAGCATGATGAGGGTGCCATGCTCTGTGGCTCTGCTCTGGCGCTTTTGGGGGAATCAAGACTATCATCAGAGCTACGGAAATGGCAGCTCTATCTACAAGGAGGCCACACAGCTATCATCCCTGGAAGCAGAGCCAAGACCCCTTCACTTAACTATGTAGGCAGCAAAGGTATCTACAAAAGATGGGAATACCAC